CTTTCAGGTTCTTAGGCAAACGGGGCCTGACCTTCTTAAACAGGGAAGAAGGGCTGTTTCTGTGGCAAAGAAGGCGTGGTAGAATTTACAGGTCAAGGACCAAGCTTCATTTAATTCTGCCCATGGAGTCCTCATACCAATGTTCAAAGTCGCTCTTCTTCCCGATCAAGGCCATACTTGAACAAAAGAGATCCTATGGAGCTTACATTCAATTTACCTTGTAAGTCAGTCACCTACAGAATTAGCTTTTTGCTTGTTTCTCAGAAATGTTTCAGAAACTTTGCTTCTGCATGAGAATTTCGTCTAGGACAGTCAGAAGTTTGTAATTCTGAATGTTCCTGGAACTCCCTGGCTTGGGGGTTACAAAAAAAGTCACCTTAATATTGAGGACCAAATTCCATGACTTTGAAAGCTCTCACACGTGGAACTGAAACCTTGGACCTCTTTTGAGGTTTTCTCTTACAGACATAGCTCTGGGGTTTTGGAGGTTGTCACATCATCTCACAAACCATGAGAGGCTGCTGTGTGTGGCTGTTTTCACTTCGATCTGGGCTCTGTCTGGCTCTGAGCCACGCCTCTGCTGCCCAACCTGGCATCACACCTATGCCACTGTTGACACGGGCTGCTGTAGCACGCTCCGTCCCCCCACACGGTCGCAGCTGCTTCACCTGGGCCCCAGTCCCTCTCCCTCAGGATACTGCTTACACCGGTGCTGCTGCCACAGATGCTATTTCTGTGTGCCCTGCTGCTTTGCCTGATCCATTGCAGTCTTTCTGCTTTGGCTCCTGCTCCTGCTCCGGTCACCCTGTCTTCCCCCACCAGTCAGCACGCTTCACTGTCACCACCACTCTGCCCCAGACTGCTAGGGCCTCTGTTTTCTAAAATGGGTAGAGAAATTGCCTCCTCTTCCTTGTGTTCTGTCCTCTTGTAGAATCCTACTTCGGGGCTCTTGGGGCCTGAGTGTTACATAGTTTAAGGCGTTTTTGAGTATTATCCACATACTTCCCTGTCCTGACACATTCATGCTGGTGACAGAGCTCATGGGGAGGTTGAGTCAGAAGCTGTGTACTATACCCCCAATCCCCTGGAAATCGCAGGCCTTATTACTGAGTTTAGTTTATTGTGTCATGTTTCTTTCCTTGAGGTGCCAACTTCTTCCACTTCTCTTTTCACCAGTTTCCCACTAGGTTTGAATTCTTATCATGAACATAGTTCAAATACTTGTCTTCAAAGATGCCTTAACTTGCGGCTCAGTCAGTGACTACAAACAGATGCAGAGGTGGGTGTGGGCCCCATTCCACACAGAATGTGAAGGACAGTCACGCCTCCGCAGGATTTAGAAACTCCTATTTGGCTTTATCAGAGGGAAGTCACACACACACACACACACACACACACACCTGTAAACAAAACAAAGCTCTTTGCCTTCAGGAGCTTACATTCTAGTGGGACACAGACAACAAATAACATAATAAATAAAATATATATTATCAGGTGGTGACTGCAGAAAAAAGAGAACCGCAGAGCAGGGTAAGGACAATCAGACGTGCCCGCGGTGTGTGTATGTATGCACGTGCGCGCACGCATGCATGGGTACAGCTGCAGTAGTAAGCTGGTGGCTAGGTCAAGTCTCATTGAGAAGGTTCCCTGCTAAAGGAAGACATGGAGGAAGAGAAGAAGTTAGTTAAGGAAAGAACATTTCAGGCAGAGAGCACAGCCAGAGCAAAAGCCCTTACCCCAGAGTGTGCCTGGGGTAATAGAATAACGGCAAGGCCAGTGAGCGAAGAAGAGGGAAGAGATCAAGGTCAGAGATAATGGGATGCCAAGCTAAGTAGGATCTTAAGCCTACTGTGAGTTTTGACTTTTACTGAGTAAAATGAGAAATTACTGGAGGATTTTGAATAGACAATGACATGATCACTCTGGCTACTGACTATGGGGTTTAGGTTAGGCAGTGGTTCTCAACCTTCTGGCCCTTTAAAAACAGTTCCTCATGTTGTGACCCAACCATAAAATTATTTTCGTTGCTACTTCATAACTGTAATGTTGCTACTGTTATGAATCGTAATGTAAATATCTGATATGCAGGATGGTCTTAGGTGACCCCTGTGAAAGGGTCGTTCGGCCGCCAAAGGGGTCACGACCCACAGGTTGAGAACCGCTGGTTAGAGGAAGAAAGATTGTGATGAGGTTTATTGGGTTAGTCCAGAGAGAGAATGGTAGCTCAGACCAAGGTAGTAACTGAGGAAGGAGTGAGTAATTAGATTCTGGCAACATTTGAAAGGAGAGCCAAATAAGATTTCCTAATAAACTGGATGTGAGAGAGCAGAGTCAAAGCTAACACAAAGATTTTGACCTTGCCAAAACCGGTTTGGCTCAGTGGATAGAGCATCGGCCTGCGGACTGAAGGGTCCCGGGTTCGATTCCGGTCAAGGGCATGTACCTGGGTTGCGGGCACATCCCCAGTAGGAGATGTGCAAGAGGCAGCTGATTGATGTTTCTCTCTCATCGATGTTTCTAGCTCTCTATCTCTCTCCCTTCTTCTCTGTAAAAAATCAATAAAATATATATTTAAAAAAAAAAAAAGATTTTGACCTGCAGATAGAAGATGGCGTTGTCATGAAATTCCAAGATGCCACAGTAGGGAAGGCCACAGGTTAAAGAGTAAGATCTGAAGCTCTGTTTAGATCTATAGATTTTGAGATTCCTATTAGATATTCAAGTGGAGATATTCATAGGCAATTGGATATGTATCAGGAATTCAAAAGGGAGATCTGAGCTGGAGAGATGCCTTTGGGTGTTCTCAAATTGGAAATTACATTTATAGCCCGGAGCATAGATGAGATCATCAAGGTAGTAAGTGTGGATAGAAAATAAGAGAGGGCCCAGGACTGAGCCTGGGGTACTTCAACATAGGAGGCTGGAGAGAGGAGACCAAGTCAGCCAGAGGCAGGGAGGTGGAAGGAAAATCAAAAGAGTACAGTATACTGGAAGCCAAGTGAAAAAAGTACACCAAGAAGGAGAGAGTGATCAATACCATAAAATGTTGCTGGTCAGGTAAGAGGAGGTCTAAAAACTAACCATTGTAATGATCAACATGAGGTCACTTGATGATCTTGACAAGCACTATTTTGGTGGGATGGTGTGGGCAAAAGCCTTATTGGAGTAGGTTCTGGAGAGAGTGGGAAGGGAAAAATTGGAGACAGAAATTACGATGGCTATTAAGGAATAAAGATATTGTGCAGTCGACAATGAGGTACCATCTCACACCTGTCAGAATGGCTATCAACAACAAATCAACAAATGACAAGTGCTGGTGAGGATGCGGAGAAAAAGGAGCCCTGTGCACTGCTGGTGGGAATGCAGATTGGTGCAGCCACTGTGGAGAACAGTATGGAGTTTCCTCAAAAAACTAAAAATGGAACTCCCATTTGACCCAGTGATCCCACTTCTAGGAATATATACCAAGAAATCTGAAACACCAATTAGTAAGGATATATGCACCCCTATGTTCATAGCAGCACAATTTACAATAGCTAAGATTTGGAAACAGCCTGAGTACCCACCAGCAGATGAATGGATTAAAAAACTGTGGTACATCTACACAAAGGAATACTACGCGGCTGTAAAAAAGAAGGAACTCCTACCATTTGCAACAGCATGGATGGAACTGGAGAGCATTATGCTATTCGAAATAAGCCAGTCAGAGAAAGATAAATCTCACATGATCTCACTCATTTGTGGATTATAATG